AATATTTTTGCAAAAATTAAAAAATAATGGGGAAAAACATATAATCAAAATAAAGAAAATATAAGAAGTAAGGACAAAAAAGACAATTATAAACATAATCATAAAAAATAAAAAAGAAAAAAATGTATAAAAATAAAAAAAAATTAAATAATTTACTTGTTTTATATTTAATATTTGAGCTCATTTAAAATGTGCGCTGTCTTTGTATTGTAATTTATGAAGAGTTAATTGCTTTCCAATTTAGAATCAACACAAATAGAGTTTCATATATAGCTGGCTATTTAAAGCTGTGGCCTCTTCAAGTATGCTGTCATATTTCATAGTATTACCCAACCACGAACTTGAATAATATATGCCCAACACACTAACATGCATACACACAAGACCTCATCAATCACACTCCCGACTTGAACTACATATGCACCTGTTTGAGCACATGCGCCTATTTTTAGCACACACACAACACACACAACAAGTCTCTTGAGCTGCTCTGTGTTCGTTGCCGTGTCTCTCTGTCTCTCTGTCTGTCTGTCTCTTTGTCTCTGTGTGTGTGTTGGTATTACAACTAGCCCGCTGTGCTGTACTGATAATCATCAACAATTACACCCAACGCTGCCCAACAACAACAACAACTACTACTACTACTCGAACAACAACAACCAGTGCCCGATGATCTGCACAGCGCTCGTCGTGAGCTCCAGGATGGCGAAATTGCGCGAACTCTCGAACGTTGCTACAGCGTCATTACCGAGTCCGGGAAGCTGTTGAGCGCCTCGACCGCCTCGGCCTTGTCGCATCGCAAGCCCTTGAGTGCCTCCTCGCTGCAGCTGTCCGTGACGAGCTATTTGAGTCGGTTCCTCAAGCGGCCCGTCTACGAGAAGATAAAGCGCCGGCAAACGCGCCTGGATCACAATCTCTTCGATGTGCTGTGGCCGGCGATGCGCAAGACGTCGAAGCTGCGCCACCTGGAGGAGGACATCAATTGTGGCATTATAGCGCCCGATTTCGATGTGTTTGTGGTGTTTCAGGAGTTTCTGGTGCCGCTGCTCAAGGACATGCACTGCCTGAGCATCGATGCGGAATTCAAGCCGCATCCGCGACTCGCCTACTTTCCCATGGACAACGGCGAGCGTCTGAATACGGCCGCATTTGTCTACGACGACGAGTCGCAGCTGGTGACGCGTTGCATTGTGGAGGCATCACGGAATCTGGACCAGCTGGAGCTGCCCCTCAATCTTACCATTGGCCAGATCGAGCAGGCCGAACGCCTCATGATGGGCCGCATATTTACGGCCAGCTTTGCCGAGGCCATTGGCGAAACGGAATCGGGCAGCTACTATACGCTGACAGAGCTCATGGAGCCAGACTCGGAGGTGGCCAAGCTGCTGGGCAGCCTGGGCCTAATGATACCCCTGCTCGATGACAAGGATCTGGTGCAGGCAGCCGAGTCGACGGCCTTCAATGGCGCACTGTGGCCCTATGGCCGCGGTGTCTACGTCAACTCCGCCCACAATATGGCGCTGTGGCTCAACTGTCAGGAGCATCTGCGCGTCATCTCGGCCAGCAGTGGCAAGGATCCGGCGGATATGGGCGCCGCCTACACCCGGGTGGGTCGCGCCGTCACCTATCTGGAGACACAGCTGCACTTCAAGGAGAGCTATCTGCTGGGCTATCTGCAGTCGCGGCCAGCCTATCTGGGCACTGGCCTCAAGATGACCACCATTGTGAAGCTGCCCAATCTGATGAAGGAGCTGGATAACTTACGTCACCTGTGCTCCGTGCGCGGTCTGAGCATGGTGACCAATCGCCTGTCCAAGCTGACCGTGCGCTTGATCAACATGCAGAGCATGGGCGTTGTGGAGTATGTCCTGTTCCAGGACTATTGCACCGCCGTCACCAATATCCTGTCGCTGGAGAAGGACATGTCGTTAACGAACTCCAAGCATATTGCCACCATGCTGGTGAAGATCTTCAAGCGCAAAAAGAATAGCATTATCGATCGAAACTAATCAAAGAAGCCAACCGCAAAAGAAACCAAATGAAAAGCACAATTCATACATTAATCAAATTTAATTTGTATTGTAAATACAACCGAGCACAACAAACTAAAACTACTCAAACTCAAATTGTAATGTATATATATATAGATAAACATATATACAGCTACTCGATCGATACATAGAGCTTACAAACAAACAAAAATAAAATAAAATAAAATAAACCGTTTTAATTAAATACCAAAAACCACATCCTCAGCTTCGGCCGCAACGTCGCACGCAAAAAGTTTTCATGAGATACACGTACGTACCTATTGCTCCTGCTACACCCCGCCGCTAATCCAGATCCTAATTAGCAATGTGTACCGTTCTTTGATATTATTTGCCACACTTATCAGTTACAAAGTAGTTATTTGATTCGACTCTCGCTTTGTATATATATAAATAGTTATATA